TATATATATATATATATAGAGTAATATATGTATATAAATGTATATATAATACATATGTTATAATTTCCATAATAAATATGTATATCACATAATTTTTTACAACGCAAAAATTAAATATATAAATTTATTTACATGTGTGTTTATATATTTACATATAAATTTATATATGAAGAGAAGACCATTTTATAATCAATATACGCAATATCTCGAAACGCAGAAGTTTTTTCAAAAAAATGTTTCACACAAAAATTTTATGATTTCGAGAGGGAAGAAGATGATGACCTTGTATGAGTATGAGATTTTATTGTTTAAGAATTATATATCGCTAGAATTATATGAATAGATATATAGAATTGTTTAGAAGAATTCGTTTTATCGAAGTATCGCTGAAGATAACTCAAAGTGCAATCACCAAAAAATACAGGAATTGTTAGATTGAAATATATTTTATTTGCACTCTAACGTGCTACTATTATCTTTTTTGTTGAGTATTTTAAATTTCGAGAGTCCAGAGTTATATTAAATTTTATATTTTATAATTTAATTTTTAGCGAATTACCACGCAAAATTTTGTACTCTCACTCGCTCTGTTAAATGTTTATTTGTTCCAATTTCGAGAGTGCGATTAATTTTTATTATTTTTATTATGTTATTGATATTATTGATATATAAATGATAGTTCAAAGTTATTAACAGAGATGTGCCAGGACGTTATATATCTGCCTGTATAAATAATATTACATGTAATTCCTGACACTTGTGTAATTTTACATCTAAGTTATATGTGATTTGATGAGTTATTAATAAATACAGTGACATTATTTTATAACGGTCTTCAATGGTTTATAATACGTGCTTAATTTATTATATTGGGAAACCATATAAAATATACAGGTATAATAATCTTATGACATAGGTTTAGGACTCCATGGTCTATAATGAAGTCTCCTTGGTATCTTGTAACTCATTATGTGGATAACATATAACATCAGTTGATACGTCGTACTCTCGGGTACTATAAATGCCAATTAGGATACAACATCAGATTTCTTGCTTATCACTTCGATACGAATGTGTCTTTTCATTTCTTTCTCCGATGCTCATTTTTGTAGGAAAAAGTGACACTTTTTTTAGGGAAAAGATCCAAAGATAGAGACAAGATATCTACGTCATTACTGGAATTGTATAGATTGGTATATTTCATTCATCATATGATGTCCTCTTTTTCATATATTGCTAACATTATCTCTATAAATCTATAGCATTGAATATCTCTTATATTCGATCCATCTTGTTTAAATGACAAATCCCATGACATCGTTATTATAAAATAAAAGTTATTAAAATATTACTTCTTCATTTTGTGTTATTTTTTTTTATTTTATTTAATAATTTTAACAAATATTAAATTTTGCTGCTTTTTTTTATTTCATTCGTACAATAATAATATTAAATATACTATTAAAAAATTTTATTGACGGGAAAAAATGAGAAGTATTGTTTAACAATTTTATAATAATAACATATTTCGTGAAGAGAAAGTATTATTGGAAAATATTGCTCTTTGATATCTTTTTAATAATCTTTGGTATCTTTTATTAAGATTTTTATTTCCGAGATTACAATTGTATAATCTTCTAATATTGGCGTGTATTATTTTAAGATTGTTAATAAAATTACATA